TGTACACACACACACATATATATATATATATATATATATATATATATATATATATATATATATATATATATATATATATATATATATATATATATATATATATATATATATTTTGAGAGAGGGAGTATAACATATATTTAAAATAAAAAATCTACATTACAAACAAAAGATCTTTGGGGGTTTTTTTATAATGTACACTTTTCTCGTTGGAACAACTATAACCTCTTCCCTATATATATATATATAGAGAGAGAGTGAGAGATACTTTATTTTTATAGATAGAAATATTTAAGTAAATACTCTGTTTATAATAGACAGTATTAACAACATTTACCGGTCTGAATGTCCAAGAAGTTTCGTAGGAAATATGAGTCCCCCGACAGGAATTGAACCTGTATCCTACACGGAACCGTCATATAGCTTGACGTACTGTACCATTTAAATACAGAAAAAGCGTCTAGTTAATCAGACACTTCATCTATAACTATCTATAAAAATAACCTACAAACAATAAATATATTAAAATAATTGTCGGACTTATATTTATATATATATATATCAGTCAAGTGTATTTCGACAGCAAGTATTCTCTCAAACATGGTTTGTTAAATAATATGAACAAGTTCTGTCTTAATTCTTTTGTTAAATTTGTCAAATTTCCAATAAGTAGTTTTGTTTTATTGGTAAATTTGCCAAAATTCCTATGTATATTTACTATATCATTTTTGCCGTGTACTTTTGACATTTGATCCACTCATTTTCAAGGATTGTTCTGTGTGTAGTTACGCAACTAGATTTTTAATTCCAGCGTTCTCACGCTTGATGGGACCTATTTCATGCCATTCCAGTTGACGTCGTATAAAGGTTTAAACTGTTTTGTGTATGTGTGTGTGTTTGAGTGTGTGCGTGATAAACACACTTTGTTCCCTATGGACAAAGACATCTTATTTAATATGTTTTTATTAATTTATTATTATTATTATTATTATTATTATTATTATTATTATTATTATTATTATTATTGTGTTGAAGATATGGATTCAATTCGACAAAATGATGAAGCAAATAAAAACTAAGAAAATCTGTAAATATACCTAAGGTATTTATTTACCTAGCTATCTTTTGTATGTAGTGTAAAGTAATTTCCGATAATGATATGTTTTGCTGAATTTTTAAGTAAACTTACTGTATTATTTCTATCTTGAATGGACATAAATATTTCCGATGATTATCGAATTGAAATTTTTACAATAATGTCGTTTGCGGCGGTGGCCCATTTCAAAAATATTTTGCATAATTCATTTTTCCCTTCAGGCTTGTCGGAGTTGACCGTCCAGACTGCAAAACACGCATATTTTAAAATAAAATGTTATATATTTCATATATCTTGTTGGTTTAGTGATAATGCTATTCATTGACCGAACTATTAGTGCTACTAATTTATAAATCCTATTTTCTTTTCTAATATATATATATATATATATATATATATATATATTTCAAGAAATTAGACACCAAATATCCAGTGACTGTAACCGTTCTTCCTGTAGGATGGTCTAAAAGTTTTGTCACCCCTACAAAAATTAATAAGAATTGACAGCCATTTGAATTAGAAAATTATATCAAATTCCTTATCTCCTGTACTAAATTTGTTATAAGCGATCCACAAATTGATACAAATAATAATTATTACCTTTAAGTACAAAATACACCGTATATAATCGAGTATAGTGCAGGCTTTTATGATCAGTACAGATTTAACGCAAAATATGGCACTAGACTGGCTGCAAGCTCTCATCATTTTACCATTGTATTAGACTGTTATATCCCCAGACATGGTCAGTTTAAAATTTTCTGAAAGGTTGTCTGTAGCACCAAGCACCTGATGAAGGCCCGAGGGCACAATAACCGAAATATTGTGATATTACGAATTAAAGATAAGGACTATTGTCCAAATATAAATATTAAAAAATTAATATAATATTATAAATTATGGTAACTATTCAAGCTAGAAATTTAGTCAGAGATGTAGATTAGATATAACATAGTATTTTTTGCAATCTTTTCTTGGTCTTTAAGATAAATTAATTTTCACTTTATACTTAGCTTATTTTTTTTTGGATTCATTGATTGATTGACTGATTTGTTTTTACGGTTTATCAACCTTTTCTAAGTTATTTAAAGCCAGAAAATATTTTTAGATTCTAAGAATTTTTTTGGAAATACTAATTATTTTTAATGACATAGGTCCTACTAATTTACCTATAGCTGAGCCGAGGTTAAGTGTATTCATGCCTTTCCCAATGGTATTTGCGTAGAAATAACGAAGACGATTGGGATTGGAACTCGGGAAGCCGTTATCTATTACAACAAACTCACATCCAAGCTAACATTACCTGGTATACCCAAGCGGTCACCCATCTAAGTACTGACCAGGCTCGTCGTCAATTAATTTCGTTGATCTTACGGGAACCGATATTTCAATGTGATATGGCCGTAAGCCCTTAGTTTCTGAAAACATTATTCGTCAAGCGCATTCGGGTTTCTGTGTCACATTTCCGCTAACTGTTAGTGCACTACACAATTAAATCTATGTATCCGTTTGATTCTGACAATCCCAAGGCATAGCTCACAATTTGGTCTGTTATTTTTGCTAATTTCTTTTGTAATCATTTCACTCCAAGCAAGGCAATAAAGCCACCAAGATACAACGGTTTACTGAATTTGAAAAAATAAGATAAAAGATGAGGAATCAAGAAGACAGTAGAAAACGATTGACATAGTTAAATCTTTGAAGTTGGCTGGGAAGCGTGGAGCCGGAAAAGACTTCCACAGGCGAGAGGTACAAGAAAATAAACTGTTAGTAAAAAACTTACGGCTACATCTTGCCAATTCAGTTATAAAAGGAGACCTTTTTGCCAATCTAGTACCGCACTTAAATAAATTCTAAAGACCATAGAGCAAAGCTCATAAGAACAATTACGATGAAAGTATTTATAGAAAAGTTACGGGGGAAACTACGTTACGGTGGTTGGAAAATGACTGAAGCTGGAATGACGAGTGAGGATCAATAACATTGTAGATTTCTTTTTGTATTTTATCAAGAATCTGTCACTATATAGCAGGAACACCGCACCATATATGGCAGCAGTATTCGAAGCATGGATGAATGGAAAAATTATAAATATGTAAGATAGATTCTGGAGAAAAAAAATTGTCTAGCACGACACAGTGAACCAACTTTCCTAGCAACATACCTAACAACTGATTCAATATAATAATTCTACTTCATATAAGCAGAGAACTTTAGCCCGAGAATGCACAATGTGACACTCTCATGGTGGGTTAATATCAGCCATGCTGATGGAAACCAGAACGGGTTATCAGATGAGTAATAAAAGGCAGTCTTGTTTGGGAGTCATTAAAATTAAGAAGCTATTTCCGGCTTCCAGTTAACAGCAGATTTTAGGGTACTTTTGAGAACAAATGCCAATTTGACCGATAACCATGCCTTCTACTTACGGTTAATAGTACTTTCAGTTACGAGTTTGTCTAAGAGTTCTTTCATTGTCTCTCTTTTCTTTGTTTCTAAGGACGTTTTCATATCTCATAACACTTTACTTAATTTATAGAACGAATAAATTCCTATTGGAGATATGATAATTCGATGTCGCATCTTCAGTTATGTGTTACTTTGTTTCTCACTGGTGAATTTCTGAACAGGTCTGCTATATACTGACAATCTCCATCCCGTCGCACACCTTCGGTTACATTTCTGTTTTTACCTCAACCATGAATTTTGTCTTTCTTTCAGTTTACAGTTATTCCCCTTTTTTAATTTTCTTGATTCATTTGTCCCAGCTCTTTTAGCTTTCCCTTGGATTCTGACATCAACACAGTGTCATTTGCTCGTCCGATAATCCAATGTCCACTGATAATAAATCCTCTTAGGTCTTTTCGTTGTATCTCCTAGGTGCATTGTAGATTTCATAGGATTATCTCGACATAGTCTTCTTCTTTTCATGTGTCCTGTTCCTTACGTTCATGTTTCTCCACAACTTCCTATCCTCTGCAGCTCTTAGAAATCGTTCTTTTTCCTCTCCTCTTACATGCCTATGCTATCACCCATTTCCATACGATTATTAGGTAGCTTACTCGTTGTCTCCCTCTGCTTCTCTTGCCTTCAGTAAATTGTGAGAGTATAAAATTCTCCAACATCTCTTTCCTCATTCTGTGACAAAATAATTCACTTTTTTTTCTGATTCTAAGTATAAGCGTCTTTTTTGTTTCCGTTTTTCTTACAACTTCCTCGTTACTCACGTGTATTGTCTATGATTTTCTCAGCATTCTTTTGCAGAACCACGTCCCTAATCCTTCATCGTTGTTCCCTAGGGACCTTTACGGTGTATGGTTTATGTTATTTTATCTACATTTTCTTCTGCTTCACTCCTTCAAAATCGCTTTCCATTCCTTATACTGCCACTCCAACATTATTAGTTTCTTCTTATTATTATTATTATTATTAGTAGTAGTAGTATAGCAGTAGTAGTAGTAGTAGTTTTAGTAGTAGTACTATATATTTAGTATTTATACAGTTATAAATAGAAAATTGCAATATATATTAAGTAAGAGCAAGCATTCTCAAATCTCCAGAACCTTCCTTAGTATTCTAGCTTACTTGGTTAATACTGTTGTGGAAGTGCTTTCTTCGATTTCTAATTCCTCAAACATTTTTGCAACATTTTCTTTCATATTAGTTATTATAGTTATCCTGTTAAATCCAGAACATATATCAATCTTGTTAAAATTCTTTCATTTTTTTCTTGTAGTCTTCTACAGAACAGAAATATTCTCAGTATGACATTTTTTCTTTTCTTTTTCTTTTTCTTCTTCTTCTTCTTTTATTATTATTATTATTATTATTATTATTGTTGCTGTTGTTGTTGTTGTTGTTTCTGTTTTGCTGTTGTTTTATTTTTATTATTGTTGCTGTTGTTTCTCTTGTTGCGTTTGCTGTTTTTGTTTTAAAGTTTATTTTGTTCTGCTTATTTTCTATTTTTTTTTCTTTTTGTAAATAATTTAAAATCATTCTTTTCCACGCGTTATTTCATGTATCTTTTACTTTTTTAAATTATCTATTCCAAAATTCTGGTGCACTTTTAAAAACATCGTGACCCGTCTAACTAAACAAAGAAATCCTATTTAATAATAATAATAATATTAATAATAATAATAATAATAATAATAATAATAGTAATAAAGAAAATACATGCATTAATACGAAATTAACAAAAAAAAAAATATCTGACACCTTTTCAAACCATCAGAAAGTGCGAATGCTTACTAATTGACATGTCAACCAAGGCAAAAGGTCTACAATGCTGCGTTTGAAAATACTCATCTTTGTTCTATGCGTTGGGCTGCGCAGAAGTTAACTATAATGGTCTATGCGCAGGTATGCCAATATGGTTCCGGCTTTGAACACTCTTGTGAATGTGTGGTTCAAGCTACTCCCCCATCTCGAACTAAACAAAAACATACTTTTTATCTCCCCATGACGCGGCATTGTGCTCCAAGCTCTTCGTGGAAGACGTGACTAAGGGCAAAAAAAGGGCACAGGAAGAAATATTTGTACCGATTACTTTTCACTCGCTAGCTTCATGGGAAAAAAAAGCAAAAGAAAATAGGACTCTGTGGAGGATTACAAAAAATAATGAGAAGAAAAAGAGGAAAACAAAAGACAAAATGAATTTTCGAAATGAATAAACAGAAAGATTAATAAAAAAGAGATAATAGTCATATTATTAACAACAATGACAACAACAATAGCAATAATAATAATAATAACAACATCAATAGCAATAATAATAATAATAATAATAATAATTGAAAATCCGTGGAAGAATTGAAACTATCTACATGATAACATTAGGAAAGTTGGCAAGAAAATTGATAAGAGAATAACGAGAGAATTCAAGAGGTTTGAATATATATATATGTTTACAGTGTGGACCGAAAGTCTTTTCCCTGCAACATAATCTAATTTTCTATTTCAGATGGCTGTCACGAAAATGATGGTGTTCATACTGACCTTCTCGATGTATGACAGCGTCAATGAAAGGGGATAAACTGAATCCAGTGTATGTGCTTTGTATTACTGTATTACCTGTTCTCATTACTTTTTTTTGGAGAGGGTGACAAAACTTTCGGATCACCCTGCAGATTAAGGATGCAGATAATGATTTCTGCTGTTTTCTTTTATTAGAGTTCGCTTCAAGCCAATGTATAGTTTATTTTTCTTTCGTTCCTTAGGATAATCTCGGCGTATAGCTTATTTTTTATGTACGGTTTGCTAAGGATAATCTTGATCACTTATGATCAACTCGGTTTATAAATTATACTCTTGTATTCACTCGGATAATCTGGGTGTATAACATTTTATTATAGATTGCTAAGTATTATCTCGGTGTATAGTTTATTTTATTATGGTTTTCTAAGGATCATACCAATATATAGATTATTTTATTATACTTTGCAAAGGATTATCTCGGTGAATAGGTTATTTTATTGTATTTTTCTGAGGATCATATTGATGTTTTATTGTAGATCATTTCGGATCATCTTGATGTATAGCGTATTTTAGTGTAGATCTCTTAGTCTCATCTCGGTTAATAGGTCATTTTATTATAGTTTCCTAAGGATCAATCAAATGAATAGGTTATTTTAATTTTAGAATTTAGGATCTGCATGGTTCATATTTTATTCTCTTGTACTTCACTTAGGATTTTCAAAAGGTAATTTATATTTATTGTAAATATCTTATTTTGTATAGTTTATTTTATTATAGTTTTCTCAGAATAATCCCGATGTATAGGTTATTTTATTATAGTTTTCTAATGATTATCTCAAAGTATAGATTATTTTATGGTTAAATTATGCTCAGTTTATAGCATATTTTCTTGTAGCTCTCTTAGGGTCATATCGATATATAGTTTATTAATTATAATCTACTAAGTATCATCCCGATTTATAGGTTATTTAAGGCTGATCTCTTAGTTTCATCTCGATCTATAGATTATTTAATTGTAGTTTTCCAAGGATAATCTGGATGGAAAAAGAGAGGAACAGAGTTCAAGAAGACCAAATATGGCGATTGACGTTCCATTTAAAATTTTGAAGACTGTAGTTATCATGGAAGGAAGTCGGAAGAGAGTTTCACAGGTAGGAAGTGCGAGAAAAAAGCTGTTAAGAGTAGAAGTGGCATCTAGCTAATTCAACAGTAAAACGGCGAGTTCTAGTTACCAATCTACTAGCATGCTTAAAGTCATGGCGTCTGGACACCAGGAAAAAATGATCCAGCGTGTAGTTACCATGAAAGTATTTGTAGGACTGATAGAAGGAAGCCACATCACATCGGTGAGAATGTGACTGGAGACGAGATTCCTGGTCAGGATCGATTGTAGTGCAGACATTACTCTTGATTTTGTCAAGAATTTCGCG